TGATGATGAATCCGCGACGGATCTCGAAACGTCAGGCGAATAAAAGTGTTGTTCCAGCGATTGAGTCGTCTTCTTTTCGATTACTTCCTAGGACTCGCATGTTCGCCTGCATTGGCAATCTAAATCTTTCAGGCGTTGCGCCAATGTGTGTTCGCGGAAAGAGTTTGGCTCAAAAGGTATGGGCATTGCTCGAGTACGATAAGTGGAAAGGACGCATGCAATGATGGACGGTAGAGAACAGAGCGGAGCGGCCACTTTAAGCATGAAGTAGTGAAAGTAAGGCGAACAAGTCGGGTGACTATCCACTAGCAATGACCGCCCCACGTCTAGAAACCGCATTAAATCAAATCGATCAAACCATTTAGATAATCAGGAGGACTAAAAATTGTCCCAAATACAAGACAAATACTAGAAAAAAACTAAAATGTGGTTAACGGAGGGAAGAAAGTGAAGGAGGAGACGGAAAAAGACTCACATTCATCGTGTTTTCAGCTCGATACGCACGATTGAAGGGGCAGGCGACGACCTTCAAGTCTTTGATGCTGGCGTTTATCACGTCCTCCTCCTCCATCATTGAGAAGTCCAGAACAAGACTGGTCTAGAGCAAAAAAAGCAATAAACTAATCAGAATGCCTATAAATGATTCAAAGCAATTAACTTAATGGTAATGAGAATAGTGAATGGCGCCGACGATTTCGCTTCTGCGAGGGTCATCATGGCAAGGAAAGGTGCATTACTATGAGGAGGGACGGTTGATAGGAAAACTGTACACACCGAAAGAACAACCGCGTCGCAATTGGGATCAGACATGTCCTCGACAAGGACGAATTCTGGTTCTTCGACACGACCGTGTAGACGCATTGTCCACTTCCGTGGCTCTGCCTTGTTTGGCAAGGGGGCTTCTTTAGGTGAAAACGAAGGAGAAGGTGGGAAAAGTTAGGATTGTTTAAGCCAAACGCCAGGGCTAAAAAAATTACTCGCTCAATTTCATTTGATATAGCATTTAAATTGTTCGCAAGGACGACCAGTTTGGGTCTGGCGAAGTCAACTGTCATCTTTGCAGCGCTACAATGAACCTGACCCAGCACCTTTAATCACGCTTCTGCAAGACAAAATTTGGTGACGATATGATGCAGATATACCATAATAACTGGTTACTTAAAATGCCCATTTCTAGATATTCTACACAGGAAAAAAACAAAAATGGTTTAGGTAGTGCACCTCATATACCCCTACTCCCAGCAATTTGTCCACCAAAAACGGTGGGTATAGCGATTTTGAGGGTGGAGATACAGGATAGGCAGTGAAGGAAATTTGTAGAAGTAAGTGTTAAGTGGAAAAATGCAGTCGAAGTTGCTTCCCGCGGCCGCTGGGAGTAAGTTGTTCTACATGCAAATTGAAGGTGTGCACGGCGCTTCGTGCCGCGGACTATACTAATCTAATTTCAGAACGGTACGTTGAACCTCAGGTAAGTTGAAGTAGACGGCCTCTTAACCACAATTTCTATTTTTTCAGGAATTTAAAGAAACCTGTATTTAGATAATTGTGTTGTCCGCAATATGTTAAACGGTAATACGCATTACGAAAATGTACAGGTACGAATCAACAATATTTCTAAATACAATAACATAAAAATGCCTGTAGCAGTTATTAAGGTTTATTCCACTGCCTTTCCTAATACCTAGCCCATAAAACCCCTATAGCCACTGCAGGGACTAGGGGTATATGAGGTGCACTACATAAAATACTGTTGCCCAGAAAAAATGAAATAAAACTGCATACATTAGTTTGCCGCACAGAAGCTTGCACGGAATGCATCGTGCCTTATGAGAGCAGCTGCCCTCCGCCCCTCTCTCTCTCATAAACGGAGTCCGGTCAACAGTCTAATAATA